GTGTCATGAGGTTGGATCATCCAGCTGGCCTCACAGTGGGTACCCTGTCTGAAGCCCTCAGTGAAAAGAAGCTACCACTGGGCCTCTCAGCTCTGGGCATGGACATTGCAATGTTTCATTTTAATTTTCAGTTTGAATTAACCTGAAATCACTACCTGCTAACAGAGTCTCAGTAAAGGATTGGCTTAGATCAAGCTGATCCCGAGCATGTCTATGAGGATTGTTTTGATCTCCTTAATTGATATGAGAATTCCCAGCTTTTATGTAGACAGCACTGTTCCCCGGGGTTGAGGCCTTGGGCTCTATGAGCAAAGAAAATGAGTGTAATATTTTGAATGCAGGCACTGATTTCTCTATTCTCCTGCCGGTGGATGTCATGTGACCAACTGCTTCCTGCTCTTGCTGCCTTGACTTCCCCGCAGCAACAATGGCCTTTAACTTGAAATCTCACTTAAGTCGCTTTTTGCTGAGTATTTTATTAAAGTAACAGAAAAGACTCTGAGACAGAGAGCGACTGCATCACCAGTACAGTTCATTTCCTCTGCAGATAGGCATTGCCTAAGCACACCTTTAACTTCCCTGATAGGATAAACCTGTCCGCAGTAATTCTCCTTGGTCTTGTTGTCATGGGTGATAGCCTTTTCTCGTCTTTGTTGGTGAAAAGTGCTTTAATGTGTAATGGCATTCCATGCTGTTTTTTCTCCAATAGTTTAATTAATATTCCACTCTAGTCTCCTCCAGTCTGCCCATCACTCCTTTTAGTCCTCTGTAGGTAATGTGTATCTCCTGCTCACTCAGGTCCTTTTTAAGACTTTCTCCTTATCATTGTCTTTCATCAATTTGATTTTAACAATTATGTTATTGGTATCTTTGAGTATTTTACTCCTGGAGTCTTTTGAGTTTTTTAGATCTGAAAGTTTACAAGTTGTGTGTGTGTTTTTTTGTTTTGTTTTGTTTTTTTTGTTTGTTTGTTTTTTTTGCGGTGATTATTTTTCAATTATTACTCATTGAAATTTGTATTAAATTATTCTAGGTGTATGACTGTTGTGCCTACATGTATGCCTGTGTGCCACTTGTGTGCCTGATGCTCACAGAAGCCAAGCGAGGATGTGGGATTCCATGGAACTAGAGTTATAGACAGTTGTAAGATACCATGTGGATGCAGGGAATCAAACCTGGATCCTCTGGAAGAGCATCCGGCACCCTTAATGAGCCTTCCCTGCAGCCTGCTACTAGCTTATACTCCACCATTAGTAACCTCTACTTCTGGGAGTTCAAGCATATCATGTTTCTCTGCTTGCTTTGCTAAGCGAGGTCAACTACCTTCCTTCCTTCCTTGTTTCCTTTTTTTGTTGTTTCCCTCACTCTCGCTGACTGGCATTTCTTCAGCATCCGGTCTGTTGACAACAGAACCCGGTCCTTTATCTGTTCAGATGGAAGTCACTTTCATCTCACGCTGGTCCCTTCCGTCTGTCCCTGTCATGCTCAGACCTTTCTTTACCTCCATGAAGACATCGAGCACATCTGTAAAGCTGTCTTAATGTCCTTGTTTGACAGTGATAGCTTATCTCACTGTGGTCTGTTTCCATTGACTGGGTTTTAATCCTATTTCTAGGGCACATTTTCTTGCCTCTTTGTGTATTTAAATTTAAATTTAAAATTAAATTTAAAACCAGATATAAGCCATCTTGAGCTTCAATTTGTCCAACAGAGTTTGCTTGTATACTTTTGTAATAGGATGTTAGATATTTTTCTAGAGCAACAACAAAAAAGTTACCTGAATTCAGTCTGACCGACTGGCTTCACACTTGAAAGCTTTATTGGAGTAGCAAGTGGTAAGGAATAATTTAGACTCATAGCCACCACCACATCCTGGCAACTCCCTGCATATTGACACAATGATTTTCCATGATCCCGTGTATTGTTTGTAAATTATCAGGTCCTTTCAGAGGAAACACAAACTGTTTCCAGTCCTGCATATGCTTCTCCCAACGTTTGTTGACACACCCTTCTTGTTCTGCTTAATTTGTACCATCAACTTGATTGAACTAAGAAACACCACGAGCATCTCTTTCAGTGGGGGCATTCCTGCCAGTCACGCCCGAGTCCCCAGAGAAGATTAAGAAAGGATTCACTGAGGAAGATGCACACTGAATGTAGGCAGTGTCACCCCAAGGGCTGAATCCAGGAGTGAACAATTTCCAATCGCATTCCCTGCCATTTTGGACAGTATTCACTCAAACTATGGGCCCAAAATCAACCTTCCCTCCCTTGCATTGTTCTCCCCTTATCTTGGACACAATGGTGAGGAAAGTAAGCAGGGACACTGTTCTTCACCTTTTATTTCAGCCTGAGTCTGCACGCCAGTCTTCAGCAGATTTCTTCAGCCACAGATTCTGATGAACTTGGCCTCCTCAAATTCTGAGTTTTGTATCAGCGAGCTGCCAGGGTTTATTCTATCATTGGAAGCCATGTTCTGTTTGTTGTTTGTTTTTGTTTGAGTCAGTTATTTGACATGAAGTTGATACAGTCACAGGCTTTGATACTCTCCATTCATTCCGGAATACCAGCACCTTTTTGCTCACTAGTCAGTGTCAGTCAAAATTATTACTTATACTTTCTCTAGTTCTTTCTAGTAGTGCGAGATGCAGAAATAAAAAGAGTTCTTGTCACCCCAGTGTGGCTGCATGAATGGCAAGCATTTGATGTGGAAAGTCATCTTTTCCCTAGCAAATGAAGCTTAGGCCACTAGCATTCATCAAAATAAAGCTGGCCTTTCAATCAACTGGTAACTTGGGTTGCTTGTAATCTCTCTTTGTGGAGAAGCTTGGGATATGAGAGGAGTAACTAAGCTATGTCGGCGAACTCCCATGCTCTTTAGTTAAAAGACAGACCTTTTATATTTGCGTGGGTTTACATGTCTATCATAGTTCCCCTGCTGACTATGGGCTTGACTCCCTCACTTTTGTTTTATTTACTTTATTTTATATGTTGTGTGCTTGCCAGACTGCATGTATGTATACCACACATGTGTAGTGCCCCCTGGAAGGCAGAAAATGGATTTGGATCCCCCAGAATTGGAATTTCAGGCGATTGTGAACCTTCATGTGGGTGCTGGGGTCCTTGGCAAGAGCAGCAAGTGCTCTTAACTGCTGAGTCATCTCTCCAGCTCCAACTTCCTTAACTTTTGAGAGTGACATTCATGTGTTCACTGCCTCGAGAGTTGTTTTTAGCAGGGATTGGCTGAGCTACATTTCCTAGTAAAGATACGTGAGGATTAAAGAGACTGGACTAGAAATTACAAACAGTAACTTTCCTTGTTTCTTTCTGTTTGGATGGTCCAGATGCATGAAAACAATCACCATGGCATTTACTTCCATTTTTAACTGGTATTCTTGCAGGAATATGAGTTTTTGATGTCTCTCTTGCTTCCTACTTTTTGCGTACTTTTAATTCTTTCCTGCAACTTTCCTGTCCCTTCTTCCTCTAAAAATGATACTGTGTGGCCCTCCAAACTCCTTTAGGACTCTGTGTTCACCACAACATTTATGTCTCCATGTTTTTATTTCATGCTGTTTCTACTATGTAGATTTTCACCATCTTTCTTAGAGTGTTCTAATGTATTCCTTAAATTTGGGTCATATACCATCAGGTGGGCTATATAAAGTCACACGTTTGGCAGATAAAAACAAAATTTGCAGTGAATGCATGAGCAAGAGAATAAAGAAGGCAAGTTTTCCCTTACCTGCTTTATTTTGTGTCTTCATGCTTGCAGTCAAGGCTAAGAACTGTCTAGTGGGCTAACAGTGTGGACCACAGAGTTGGACTCTCTCAGTTAATGTTCTGGCTCTACCCTCCAAACACCGATGTAGGCTTGGTGACATCACTTCTCCTGTCTGGCTCAGTATCTGTACCTCTACCATGGTTACCACAGCACTGTTGTTTTAGGATAATTGTGATGATTGGGAGAAAAACGAACCAAGTGCCCCCAAATAACCCCGAGTGTTCTAAGGTAGCAGCTATTATTGTTAGCAGGAGCTGAGTTTTCTTCAAATCGGGTTCACCGACTTTTCCTTCCGCAATTCAATCGCTTCCCAAGCTTCCCCTAAACTTACAAGCTAGTCACAGAAAACATTGTGACAGAATTTGAAAATTATACTTTTTATTATAGTCACATAAAACAAAGTCAGTTACACCGGATTGTTCAAATACATTGGTGAGTTAAAGCCTCCAATGCTTACAAATTTTATACACACTTATATGTATACATATAAATACATACATATGTAAAAGATATATATTTTCTTCTAAAATAAAGTGCCCAAATCTTAACATGGGGCAGGAAATGGAGAAAAGGGCTATAAACTCTTGGCAGTTCCACAGTTCCTTTAATCCGCTGAGCATCCACGTTCAGGTGCAATGAATTTTAATCACCCATCCTTTCCCCCAATTCTTCCAAGGGCATTAATTCTACCCAAAGGTGAGAAGATTAAGGACACATGTGGCCAACTTATTGTATCAGAGGTTGACTCTGCTGACTGCATGGGATTCAGCCTTGGTTTCCAATGGGGAATAATAACTAGGTAGCATAATTTTCTTATTTAGAGGGTTATCTCCCAGTTATGGTGCTAATAGAGTAATATGCAAACCAGGTGTTGTTAATTTTAGCTCCTTTATAACATGCAGCGATATGTGGTTCGGTACAAAGGTTCCTGGTGTTTTCCATCATCCAGGCTTCAGGGTGCAAAGACACAGCAGGATGTGAATTGTGGGTCTTGTTTCTTTTGCTACTAAGGAAATTATAATGGAATTGGACATGTAAGGACCAATATAGATCATTGAGAGGCCATTTTGAATCGAAATGGTCAATTACATTACAAAACAAAAATCAGTGGTAACATTTCAACCTAAAAATGAAATAAAGGGTTAAAGAAAAACTGCAAAAAAAAAAAAAAAAAAAAAAAACCAAAACCAAAAAACAAACAAACAAACAAACAAAAAAGCCTTACTTCAAAAGGAAACTAGAGTTCTGTTCCCATTCCAATTGCTGAGCTACCCTTCGCAAGTTCTCACTAGACATTACAAAACGCTATGGCGACCTTTGCAGTATCCTACAAGAAACAGAATCTTAAAATGCCTTTGAAAAGATTTCAACTTATTTAAGCAAGGCAGGGATGCCTAAAATTAGCTTCTGCAAGCCTAGCCACTTCAGCATCTTTGGTGGTTACATCTTCAAACTACATTAGCACGGATCCTACGCTAGCAGGTAAGGGAGAGACTGTCACAGCATCAGGACCGAGGACACTGGAGAACTTCCCAGCATATAGCAGACCAGGAACCATGACAAACCCGGACATTTCCCAAAGTCAGAATGAGGAGAAGAATATTTCGCTAGTGTTTGGAAGGGCAAAGGAAGAGTCAGGAAGAACTTCTCAATTTTCAGCATGTCTTGGCAGGGCCTCTAACTACTGATTTTGGTGAGCATCTTGTTAATCGCTTGCTTGACGTGCGTGGTGGAGCTGCGCCGCCTGGTCTTGCCTTGCACCATCTTCCGGCGACGCACCTCTCGGCAGAGCTCATAGAATACCTCGGTGATGTTCCCTTCGCCCGTGCAGGCGGAACATTCGTAAAACGCACATGCCAACTCTGTAGCTAGCTTCTCCCCTTCTTCGGTACTCACTTGTCTGGAGTGGTCCAAGTCTGCCTTGTTTCCGACCAAGATGAGAGTTACGTTTTTGGGCTTTTTTACTTCGTCTAAGATATTCTTCAGCGGCAGAACTTCTTCAAAGCTCCCTCGATCAGTGATGTCGTAGACCAGCACGAAGCCTTCCCCCCAGCGCATGTGGCCTTCCCTCTGGATGGTGTCTTCCTGTGGGCAAAGAAAGACTCGTAATCAGGAGACCTGGGCCTAATCCCTATGTATACACTGCTATTGCCAGAATAATCCCTTAATTACATCTCCTCATGTCTGTTTGTCATTAAATGCTTTGGCTGTTTTCCTAGTGGAGCTTATTTTCTTAATTAGTTTGGAAGGTAAGTACAACCCACCCCCATTTGTTTTAATGTCCTCTCTGTATTATAGACACAAAAACCAGTGCCATGCTGTATAGAATACACTGTTTAAGCTTGGGGATCGGGATCCCCACCCACACACCCTGACATCCCAATCGGTGTTATACAGTAGTAGGTACGGTGAAACTCCTCCTGCAGGGACTCTCAGAATGGTGACTTCTCCATGAGGAGAAGACTGGCACAGTCTGAAAGTTTGCTGGCCGGGTCTAGAGGTCCATGAATCTGTGATCCTAGTACTTGGGATGCTGATGTGAGAGGATGTCATGTTCAAGGCCAGCTTGGGCTACGTGGTAAGATGACAAGAGACATTGTGTGTGGGAAGAAAGACAGAGGAGGAGGAAGACAGGATGAGGGAAGGAGAGAGAGAGAGAGAGAGAGAGAGAGAGAGAGAGCATTGTTTTCATAGGTTCAGTATCTTCTAGAGGCTTCTGCCTGTTGGTGTATCCATACACAATGAGGGACTGATGAGAAGGAAAGGATATAATTAATTTCAGGAGCATTTCCTGGATTAAGCACTTTAACTCAAGTCTTCTTAGCGGTCACTGGTCATAGTTAGAGCTCCATGGAAATGCCCGATCAGCTAACCATCACCTTTGTAGTCATTTCTATAGGCAGGAGCTGAGTCTATGGGACCCTTTGTAAGACTTGATCTGATTAATGTCAAAGGAAATTTTCCAGCAGATTAGCAGGCAAGCATCTCCACATTGAAGTGTGAAATGCACAAATAGACCTGTGTGTGATCGCAGAGACTTGGAGCGCAGTGTAGACCCGAGGGCTCTCTCAAAGACTTACTTTGCAATGAGGATATTAGTAATTCCTTTCAATAGAGATACTTATTTAAATTCATCCGAACTTTTCAAAAGCATGTTTGGCTGTAAAAGCACATGAATGCACTGACATCCCCCCCACCCGCCCCAATATAGAGGGAAAGTCTACCCTAGATGGTCTGCAAGTCTTGTAATATTTCTAGCACCTTCTGGAAGTACGGGGTTATCCACACAAGGATATAATTACACATGCATTGAAGTATAAAGTGCCAAGAAAATGGAAGGGATGAGGTGTTAGGCATGTAAAAGTCATGCACAGAAAAATCCTTTGACTTTTTAAAAAATATTATACATATCATACATGTCTCATTATTTGATGCAGAAAATACTTAGCTGAATTTCTATTCACCTGGCCAGCCGTATCTAGGATCTCCATAGAAACAACTTCATCATCGATGGTTGCCTGGTGTCGGTAGGTTGACTCTAAAAGAATGAGGACACACAAAGGCACAGGTGAGATTCAGTTTGATCCTTGAAGTCAGAAATTAGGCATGTGAGGAGCAGCCCTGCCTTTGTAGCAATGCAGGGGTGGGGTTGCCCAGGGAAGAGCGGAAGGACAAAGAAGCAGGCACCACCATCTCCAGAGCTTTGTAAGAGCAGGAACTCCAGCGGTCTGCCTCCTCCATCCTCTATCCTTTCCTCAAGGCTGCATCTTGTTCTCTAATGAGGCCACCCCCCCCACACACACACACACTGGTGCTCTTTTCCATTTACATTGGATGAGATATCTACTTCTAAAGCAAAAAGGGCATTTTCCATACAAAAAAATACATGCTGCCTTGATATTCCTAAGATTCAGTTTTGTTTTGTTTTGTTTATACAGAAAACCCTATTGTGTCTTGTCCTAACTTCAACCCTGTAAAGATCATCAACGTTAGAGGGAGGTGGTAGGTAGGATTGAAAGACCAGGTTTTAGTCAGAGTCCATGATAGGGAGACAGATAAAGGTGGCGAACTTCCAAGATGGCTGGCCTCTTCCCCTCCTCCCTGACCTGAGGCAAAAGCCTAGTAGCTTAAAACAAAAGCTTTTTTTTTCTCTCTCTCTTTCTCTCTCACCAGTAAGAGGCCACTGTGGCTGAAGGACCTGACAAGGCAAGACTGATCAGGACATGTTTACTTAAGGATGGAAAAATTTAGCCTAATTCTCCCTAGACTCTGCCCACTAGCAGTGAGTAGGCAAAAGGGTGGTTTATGGACAGCACCTGTAAGTAAATGAAAACAGGAAATGAGCCTTGTCACACTACCCAGAAGCCCTAGCGAAAGCAGACTTCCTGGGAAAAGCGCCGGCTTTGATAGTTCAAATTGATTGGTCCACTCTGGATGCTATGAGATGATTGGTTTATGATGCGCGGGCTTTGTTGTAACCCTATAAAAGCTGTCTGAACCCTGTACCCAGGATTCCCAGTCCCCAACTTCCACGTGGAGTATGGCTGCGGACCCCAGTGCACTGGAATATAAAAGACCTCATGCTTTTGCATCAAGACCATTTCTCGTGAGTGATTTTTTTTTTGGGGGGGGGCGCCTTTCCTGAGTCAGGGCGTGAGGGTTCGTGCCCTCTGCGGGTCATTCATTTACATAACAGTTGTACTCTAACCAGCCATCTTGTCTTTGTTCAAATTAACCAACCCCAAATTAGGGAGGGGAGTCCTTCAAAGGCTTTTTAAGAAGTCTCCTCTCTGAGCTACACATGACTGTTCTGTCTGCTGCATTGTGTATATTTCCTCACCTCTAATAAAAGCCTTTCTTTACTGGCTGAGTATGTCCCCTGCTTTTGAGAATTTCCCTCACTACTTCCCATCATACTCGAGCTTCTGGGCCTTTTATTTCCTTAACTTAAAGAGGAACAAACAAAAAACCAAACCTGGTCAAGACCTCTAGGCTGTAACATGTAATGCGAAGCTATCTGGGACCCTGAGAGAGTAGGGGGCAGCTGAGCTTGTATTGGTGGATGAAGAGTGGTAACCCAAAGTATAAGGGGTCTGAGCAGATGGAATAACGCAGATTCCTCCTCCATGTTGCCCGATCAAAGCAGAACATAACAGCCACAGTCTCTGGGTCCTTAGTGGTCCCCAAACCCGGAAGGTTGAGACCGTGGCAGGTACAAGAAGCCTGGCCAGCCGTGGAATTCACACACTAAGCAGTGTCAGCCGCTGCTGCCATTTGTAAACGCTGCAGCACAGACCAAAGAGCCCAGAGTGACTGATTGAGCTGGTGGAAGTCACACTGGGGGCTTTGCTCAGAGGGCATCACCAGCTGCTAAGAAGGAAAGAAATATGTATAGCACATTGGTAGATCTTATTCTTTGTAAAGATAAGCCTCCCTGGAGAGAACAAAAGCCACAGGGTTGTGGAAACAGCTGAGGTTGTGATGGCTAAGAATTTCCGGGAACAAGAGCCAGTGAAAGTCTTAAGACAAAAACATCCAGCAGAATGTACCCATTACAGTGAAATTCAAGGCTATTGATGATGGGTGTGTGGGGGGGGGGCAGAGTAAGAGGAAAACAGCCCACTTCCCGTGAAGGGGCATGGCTCAGTTAACACCGAGCTTCCTTTCAGTGAAACTGAATTCAAGGACATTGGTGGCACACAGCAAATCAATGAAGCTACATCAGAAGCAACCCAGAATTGTAATTCATCCTAGAGGTCCTCATGTGTCCGTTCAGGACCAAGTTGAGACAGAGATCAAAGGCAAGTTTAACTAACAAACATTTCCGGAAACAAGGGGCAGGGCTGGGAGAAGTGAGCTAAGTACTCAACTCCACAAAGTCGGAGAGGGAAGCCAGAATAAATAAACAATGATGCGAGGACAGAGCTCAAGCCATCACCCATCACAGGTGCCAACCCCACTGGCTGCTGGGACAAAAGCAGTAACAAGAAAGCAAAATTTGAGAAGTGTAGGCTCATTATATATTTGGTTATAAAACCAGGAATTCTGCCTTTTTTAAAAAAAATCTCCATTGAGAGTGCTGGAGAGATGGCAAAGCGTCTAACACAATTACTAACTGGGTTTTTGATTTTTCAAGACAGGGTTTCTACATTTAGTCTTCACTGTCCTGGAACTCACTTTGTAGACTGGGCTGGCCTCAAACTCAGAGACCTGCCTGCCTCTGCCTCATGCATGGGTGCTGGGATTAAAGGTCTGTGCCACCACTGGCCAGCCTTCCTTCCTTTCTCATCACCTACTTTTTACAGCCTTTGGGGACTACTTTCCTGTTTTCTTACAGGACACAATTGCCTATCTAAGGCATAGAATGCAGAAAGGAAGCTTGCTATGGGCAAAACTTAGCAACAATACTGTAAATGGTCACCGCTGGAGCCTGCATAACTCAAGCCCTTTAAAAGTTGTCATTTTAAAAGGACACTACATTCAATATACTTGAATAAATGTATTTTGCTTCTCCTCCCTCTCCTGGAAGTCACGATGCACACACTGAGAGCATGTGGGGTCTCAAGGGAAGGGTGTCCAGGCCTGCACTCTTTTATATTAAGGGAGAGGCTCTAGTTGGGTGACTGAATCCCTCGAAACGCCATTTATAGCAGCTACTGCTCTGCAAGTGTTTTCCCAGTGGTTTCCTTTCTTCTTGAATCTTTGGGCCTGAGGAGAAGTCCAGCTGGCTGCACACATGCTAGGCATCCATGCCCTTCTGCTCCTTCCCCCAGGCTGTTCTTCTGCGCCTTTTGTACTGACTCCCCTTTTCAAATGGCTGGCATCCGCCCCACAGCCTGGAAAACAGAAACCCACACTCCCATCCATCTCTGCACCAAAATCCGTCTAAGAGGAAAGGGCGCTTTTCTTTGCGGCTCCTGCGATAAATGGGCTCAGGTCTCAGCTGCAGAAGGCCACCGCAGGGGGCAGCAGACAAGAATGAAACTTGCATGAAGTTGTGCAGTTCTCTGGCTGTTTGGTAACTGTAACGAATGGGATGAAATACAGGAATGAGGGAATGTCTGCTGCAGACATAGCAGCGGGTGGTGGTGAACCATTTTCATCCAGGATGAATACTGTTTTCACACTGTCCTGAGCATTTTTTTCCTTCGTGTGTCTTTCTCTCACTATGAACTCATTTTCTCTACGTGCGAGACATTGAAAATATTACCAAAAGAAGTAAAATACTAGATATGAATGTGTGAACCTTTCTGACATAATTCTAACAAAACACGTAATTTTTGCTCCTTGTTTTAAAATTCAAAAGAAAGCTGGGCATGGTGAGGCCAGCTTGGTCTACAGAGTGAGGACCAGGACAGCCAGGGATTTGTCTCAAAACACTAAAACAAAACAACCAAAGGTTACCCATGTGTGGACTGTTTCCACATGTTCTATTATCTTTTCATTAACAAAGATGGTAGCATGGGTTCTTTCTTTGGAGGGCTGGGGGTATGCTTGATTGATCTACAGCCAAACACACTCAAAAAGTTATATTCTAAAACAGACATCAGTTTCATAATTGAATTCGGTATATTAAAATTATCTTTCAGATTCCCACATGTGAAGGAACACAATTTAAAACATTTTTAGGGGCTTGGAGAGGTGGCTCAGTGGTTAGGAGTGTATATTGCTCTTCGAAAGCACCTTGTTTAGTACCAACCCCCTATCTGACAACCTCCTCTCCAGGTCAACCAGATGTCTGAAAGTCTCAATGGGTACCTGCACTCATGTGCACATTCCGCCGTCCCCAACATATAACTAAAAACAATAAGAATAAAGCTTTGAAAAACATGCATCCCATGACACTTCTGTAAAGAGTGTATTTTGTGTACTTTAGCAAGGTTGGACACTTGGCCATTTGTTTGCAGTTAATTCTTGGACTACACTGATTTTGCACATTTCATCATGTTAGTATGGCCTGTTGGCCAGTGCTGTAACAGCAGCAGTTAGCAACATGGCTTTATGCTAGGGTGGAAATTGTTCTGAGTTGGGTTCTGGCCAGACTACAAAACCCATCATGCCATCTTGGATGCAGTCTTGCTTCTCCAGCCCTATTCGTCCAATGCCTAGCTCCCATTTCCCTGCAATATTGGTACTAAATAGTTCTATGGCATGCCTGAGCACTTCTGCTTTGGTCTCTCTGCCTGAGAGCCTTTGCAAGCAGAGAAGCTGTGAGACAGGCAAGATGAATCAAGTACAGAAGCAATGAGCCAGTGGGGTGCACTGCATCTCCCAACTCCTTCCTGAATTCCGGGCTGAACTTTTACTGTGCACAAGGACAGCAACCCTGCATTGTAACGCACGCAGTGTGCATCATCTTCTTTGTCCCAGGACACTAGTGCTACTACTAAGAAGCACCCCTCTCTTGCTCTGTCCAGGCCTCCAGCATACACCCATGGGCAGGGACATACACAGAATTACAAGCTTTTCTCTGGACTAGTGTCTCACAGCATTCCTTGAGGGTAACATGACTCTGCAAGGCGGGATTCAACTCCTGATTAGGACTAGACATTTGTGGATTTTGTTTAGTCCTCAGCCGGAATCCACCTCCCACCGTAGAGTCTGTTCCCTGATTAAATGGGCCACATCCAAAATCTGATGAACTTCAGGGGCAGTTTTTGTTGTTATTAACAAATCAGGGATGAATCTGGCAAAGAATCCACTGATGAGATGAGAAAAAGTTGCAGAAAATGAGAATCATTCCATATAAAGGATTGTGGGGTTTTCTGAGACTTCATCCTTCAAAATACTTGCATAAAAACAAAAACAAACAACAACAATAACAACAAAAACCTCTTTGTAAAATGGGAGCTTAAGTCTGTGTAGGCTCGATTCCCTTCACCCTCCCTCCACCCCTTGCTCGGACCTCTAATTAGAATCATCATGATAGACTCTTTTATAAACAAATTCAGCAAAAACACAACAGCAACAAAAGTCCCTGGCTCTTAGACTCACTGACCACTACAACAGTCTACTGATTAGATATTGTAACGTTCCCAGCCATCAACTGGGAAGAAAGGCCAGTTGAGGAACTGTGTCCATCAGTCTTCTGGCTTACGGGCCTGTCTGTGCTGCTTCTTTTGGATTGCTATTTGCTGCAGGAGGGTCCAGCCCACTGTGGGTGGTACCATTCCCAGGCAGGTAGGCCTGAGCTTTAGTAGAAAGACAGCTGAGCAAGCCATGGGGAAGGGTTATGCTTCAAGTTTCTGCCTTGGTTTCCTGCCTGGCTTCCCTCAGGGAAGACTGTGATTTGGACACATAATCCAGACACACTTTCCTCACCCTTGGTTATGGTGTTTATCACAGCAATAGAATGCCAATCCAGGACAAAGAGCAAAGTGTTTTCTTCATAGGGCTGTTTAAGAGTGGTCACTATTCTGTTTGTTAATACGTGGGATGGAGTTCATATTTCCAAGCTTCTCATGAAACAACAGCAAAAGTCCAAAATCAAGCAACCCACTTCCTCAAGTTCTGAGGAGGGGACTGACATCAGAATTCAAGAGGACAACTCCCCCATCCTCCTCCCTCTGTCTCCTTCACAAACACGCCACTCTGCTTGGAAATGTGGCTATTTTGGTTGCTGGCTGTTTTGAAACTTGTGAAGTAACCACAAATTCCACAAAGATCCAGTCTTTCCTGATGGGTGTGGGATGTTAAGCTCCCAAATGCTAACTTCTCTAGAATCCACTGGATTGAGGTTTCCTGTGTGCTAGAAAATTAACAGGCTTTCAATGTACACGCCCACACAGATCCAGGCTGCAGCGTGCCAGCTAATGACAGCATCACCTGCCAGTGAGCTACCCACCTGTTCCTCCTGAAGGTGGAGGAAGGCTCTGGTTGCTTAGCAGCCAGGGTCCTGGCTGAGCAGCACAGTACAAGGTTACTCCCCAGGAAAGGATGGCTACAGATAACCAGTGCAGGCTCATTTCCTAGTTATATCTGTGACTGTTGAGAATGAATAAAAGGAAAATGCTTCACCACAGACTAATTAAAAATAGTTACTAGTTACGTTACTTACTAGAACACATTGAGAGAGAGAGAGAGAAAGAGAGAGAGAGAGAGAGAGAGAGGGAGAGAGGGAGAGAGTTAAAAAGTCAAGATTTTTTTGTAAGCTTCATCCTTTGTTATGATGTGTGGAGAATGTGAATATGTAGCTTCCAACTGAATTCCTATGAATTGTGGAAAGTACCACATAAAATTTATATAAATGAGAAAAATACAAGAGAGAGTATTTGCACAGCTGGGAAAGACAACAGATCATTGTTCCTTTTAAAAGCCAGGTTCATCTTTATTTCGAAATGATATAGAGTATTGATATACCTGTAAGCAGCTGAAAAAATTTCTCAGGAAGTAATTACTCCTCTCCCTAACTCTGTGGCAAGATCAGAAAATATACAGGGAAGAAAAGGAAAAATGAAAGAATACTTTTTGTATTTTCCCACCAACAGAATTGTTCAATAATGCATGCCTATAAAATAATTTTAGAAACTTAAATTATTAAATAATTTAATTCCTCCTTTTATACTTAAGCCGGGGAAGTATTGTGTGGTGGCTTGAAAGAAAATGGCCCCCCCAAAGGAAGTATCACTGTTAGGAGGTGTGGCCTTGTTTGTAGGAGCAGGTGCAGTCTTGTTGGAGAAAGGGTGTCATTGTGGAGGTGGGCTCAGCAGTCTTATATGTACTCAAGCCACACCCAGTGAGACAGACCTGTGGGTCAAGATGCAAGAACTCTCAGCTCCTTCTCCAGCACCATGTCGGCCTGCACGCTGCCTTGCTTCCCATCATGACTATAATGGATTGAACCCAATTAAATGTTGTCCTTTATAAGAGTTGTTGTGGTGATGATATCCCTTTATAACAATATAAACCCTAACTAAGACATATTATGTGGGTCTTTTGTGTGTGTGTGTTTCTTTTCCTGTCTGTGTTAGGAAGATATATTTAGGTAAGCAAAATCAGAAAATATTACCTTGTATTCTCATCTCATTCAATAGCTAATGTCTTGGCATATAACTTTTCATTTTTCTGTGCATCTTCATGGATGTATCTGGTGATATTTCTGTCCCAGATACAAATCTGGAAGGTTATGATTATGTATTTACTAATAAAGTCACTTGTGATAGTCTTCTAAAAAGCAGAGGCAGAGGAGGATCCTTGAAATGGATATAAGTCAAACTCCTGTCTAAAAGATTGAACGTCATAAAATATGAGGCTTCAAAATAATTTATGATTTCAACCAATTCCAATCAGTCATGCCATGCTATCAGAATCTCTGAAACTGACCTAGAAAAATGCATCTCAGACAGCAGCCAAGATAGCATTGTCTGAGAGCAGAGGAGAGCATTCTGTGCTCTCTCAGCACAGAATGGAGCTGGGGGAGGCCTCATTGTTACTCACAATGGCTGAGTTATGAAAGCAAGCTAGGTACCCAACCGCCGAAGGATAGACAAAGGAACTGTGTGTGTACACACAAGGAGATGCTTTCTACTTACCCAGAAGAACAGAGATATTCCATTTCAGGAAAATGGATGCAACTGGAGATGACTATATTAAACAAATCAAGGCATCCTCAGAGATAGATCCATGTGTTTTTTCCTCCTCACTTGAGGTTCATAGATTTTATATAGATGTATGAAATTATATGGGTCTATATGGCATGAACGTAGAGGCAAAGCTGTCCAGAGGAATGAAAGGAACTAACAGGAGGAAGGAGTGTTTAAGGAGCAGGGAATGGGGGGATTCAATGCACTGCACATGCCTGTGTGAAGTGTCCTTAGGCAGCATGGTACCACAAATAGCACATATGATGAAAATAAAGACAAGATAAAGAGGATGGCATTGGATGTTTCAACTGAATCCTACTACAAATGACTTGGTTTCTGAAGATGGCCTTAGAAGTCACATGAAGAGGTTGAGGCTGTGCAACTAATGACAGGAAATCTGATGTACGATTGACAACAGTTGTTGGGTCTTCATGTCTACTCCTCACTACAGTAAGTTCCAGATAGATTCTAAAGTTGAACACTACAGAAGTGAATCAACAGGACCATTTATCCCTTCCTTGTTCACATCCTCACCACATCTGACTACGGTTATTTATGCTCCTACTCTTCTTGAGGGCTAGCTCAAAAATGCGGGGGCTTGAGGTGGGGCGATGGCTCAGTGAAGTATAGACCTGGGATTGTATCCCTAGAACCCATAGAAATATCCAGGCATAGGGGCACAGTTCTGTAATCCCAGCACAGGGGTACCAGACAGGAGGGTCCTGGGGGCTGGCCAGCCAGTCTAGCAGAAACGGTAAGCTTCATTCAGATACGGTGAGAGATCCTGTCTCAAAAAATGAAGTGGAGAGAAACAGGAGAGGACACCCAGCCTTTGACCTCCATGTGCATAAGCAAGCGCTCCCACCCCGCGATCAGAGTCTGCTAACTGGTGTCTCTCTAGCACCTGAACTACAGGGCAAGTGCAGAGAAGGCAGTCAGAATATGTGTGGAGTGAAGGACTAAAACAAGCTAAGTGCAAGGGGCAAACTCCCTCTTGAGCTGCACAAGCAGCCTCGTGCATCATACATCTGCAGGGAATTGCCCATGTGAAACTCGATACTGTGTACAAAGCATAGGTATCAATAAACACTAAATCAAAACAGTGGAACTGGCAGGATGGCTCAGTGGGCAAAGACAGTTTCTACCAAGCCCAAGAACCTGAGCTTGATCCCTGAAATCCGTATGGTGAGGGGGAGAACTGACTCCTGCCAGTTGTCCTCTGCCCTCCACACATACACTATGACACATGGACAACACACACGCGCGCGCGCGCGCACACACACACACACACACACACTAAGAAAAGCACCTAGGAATAGTCTTTACCCATATTTATGCATAAACACAATTTCTTCCTTCTTTACCTACAAACACCACTTTGGTCTGGTCATTGGGAGCTAAAGGTATGGAATAAGGCTTCCTGATCACACTCCCCCGATCACACTCCCCCCATCACACTCCCCCGATCACATTCCCCCTGATCACACTCCCCCTGATCACACTCCCCCCTGATCACTGTGCAGAGGTTTGCTCTTATGGTGACATGCCCTTTTGTCCCACCCCAAATGCTGCCCGAGTCACCCTTTCTCCCGGTAGGACAAGGTTGCATATTGGATCATATTGGATGGGAGAGCCAGCATCCTGTGGAACCCAATTGCTTCTCTGAGGATGGACTTAAATTCTTCATTTCTGCACTAAGTCCTGCAGGGCTCAAAACACAGGCTGTGAGGCACAGTGCTGGCCTCTAGGAGGGTTTCCTGTGTGAAGAATTAAACATTATGCTTTCAAAACAGCCAAAGGGGGCTTAACAAGGGTGTCACAGACATGTCATGCGTTTTGGACGCCATAAACACGTTGGAGGAGGAGGTGAGGATAACATGAGCGACGTACCTAGGGTTGGATCGTATTCCCAGATGAATCGTTTCGTCAGAAATCTCACTACAATAGCTGTGGAAGGAAAAGAAAGAACACGTCAAAAATGGGCTCTTGCTGGAGTTCTTACCCTCCTACAGGAGAGATTCAGGCACCACCAGGCCCATTCCATATCCCCTTGGCTACGGGCCCGGATCACCTATGATTATTTCCATGCACCTCTGACTCATATGGCAGCCTCAAACTTGGGTGGTGTTTTCATATGCTTGTTGTTCACAAATTTACAGCTTACACTTATTCTTCTAGTCACAGGCTTAAAGCCAACCAGCAGAGTGTGTAAAAGCACACAGAAAAAAATGTCAACAAAGTCTTTAATTCACATTCACAAGTCTCTGGAGTTTGAGTATTGATAGAGATTGACAAAGGTGAGTTAAAATTGGAAAAGATCACCACTACTAGCCACAAGCCACAGGCCGACAATGTTATAGAAATGTAGCTATCTGAAACTGAGAATTAGGAATTCATGACAGCTCATAAGAAAGTGCCCAAAGCTGGGTGCGGCCATGCATGCCTGTGTCCCCAGATGTGCTGAGAGGAGAGGGGACCAAAGACAGGAATTGCTGGGCGCCTTGTCCCAGGTCTCTGCAGTATCGAGCCTGTCTCAAAGAAATGCCTGCAATCTCTCCGCTGCTCTGCACTGATTTTAAGTCATGGGCAATCTGGATGATCTCTGGCTGGAAATATGGGCTTGGACAAAGATGATCGATCGGTATGCTGGCACATGCCTGTAATCCCAGCACAGGCAGGGTGAGGCAGGAGGATAGTGTGTTTGAGGGTACCTTGAACTCCATAGCATCTTCCAGGATATCCTGAGCTGAGTAAATGGCCCCTGTCTTCAAACAAAAGAAAACAGAACAAATACACTTAAACACGTGGACATGGTCGCCCTGAAAGTTGATGGGACTCACGTCAGAGAGTCCCTTTGCACTCCTTTCCAGTTCACGAGAGTGCTTGTCAAATCTGAGAAAGTTTCCGAAGGAGGCTGTCACAGACACTAAAAATAGACAAAACATATTGGATCCTTTCCCTGGGGGAGGGGGGAGGAATCACATTCATACTATTTGGCGAATAATTGTGGCAGAGCAGGAGCTTCTTGAAGACCCTTGATGGTCTTGCAGACTCCACTGCACTAAACTCAAGAACCGTGGACACTAGTTTAAAATATCAATTACATCTTTGCTTTTACAAAAATGCCTTGCATGAGCCGCTCACAGATACTCCTTGAAAGGACAAAGATAACTGGTGGCAGGCCATGGCCACCGTGCCTGTCACAGCTTTTAGGATCAGCAGAGAAGTGTGTCTCTTTCTCTCCTCCTGTTTCCTGTGAGCTGTCACAGTGCACAGTGCCACACGGCCATTGTCAGACAGGCCACAGCTATACGAGACTTCACTGCTGGTGACTGAAGAGTGAAAAATGCAACATTCTTTCTTAATTGCAGAGTGTGAGACATAACTTGAGCCAATGTGTGATCAGAGCCTGAAGTGGCATGGCCAAGGTCTCTGTCAACCTTCCCACAGGGAGTATACTTGTGGTCTCCACTGTGCCCTCTGCCTGTTACTGGGAATTCTCTCAAGAATAAGGCTTTTATTTTTAAGGATTTTTTTTTTGGCATGTATGAAATGATAAGTACAGATAGACACTTTTCTCTTTTAAAAATAAAAAAATGTTAGCCTTTAGTCTCAGCGCTTGAGTTCTGGGGCAGCCAAGGTCACATAGTGAGACCCTGTCTCAACAACAAAACCATGTTAGTAAACAGAACTGGCCAAAGGATTTAAAGGGCCCCACCATTAGTTAGAATGCTTATTTTAATTCTAAAGACCAATCTATAGGAAGTGTTTGTGTCTGTAAGTAAAGATGTATTCAAATAAGCTACTTAAAAAGATATAACTGGCATTTCTCAATTCCAAAGCCATTTAAAATTTAATCATTTTTCAAAATATGTCTGAACTATATTAGACACTTCACCGCCTTTCAAAATCAAGCATTCTGAGCATAATTGCATCATTTGATGATGTCTGGGTCTAGCAATATGGTTTGAAGGAAGTTGTGCAAAAGACATCAAGAATGCTGGCTTGAAGGTTTTGAATATGTATAGACAAGTTTTACATAATGTTACTTTGTCCCTCAGCTGTGGTCACTAGGACCATTCTTAATGGCACATTGTTATTCCCTGCTGTCACTTTTATTATAGCAAAGACTTGTCACCCTATTATGAAACTTGTATATAATACAGGAAGAATTTGGATGTGTTAACTCCAAAGACATTTCTTATATTCATAAAAAACATAACTTGGGCTGGCAGGATGGCCTGATGGGTAAAATAGCTCACGGCCCAAGCCTCATGACCTGAGTTTGATCCCATGGTGGAAGGAAAGAATCAACTTTGGAAGGTTGTCCTCTGACTTCCTCAAGTATTCCACGGCATGTGTATGTCCACACACACACATACATACCACACAACCACAGTAAGGAAGTACAGCTTTCATCTACCTTCAAGACATCATGCTTGTTGTTGGTAAACTGTTCCTGCTGACTCCTGGGATACTAGCTAAATTCCTGCTGCCAACTATACAGAGTAAGAGTAGCCAATCTAAACAATGTCAATCTACTTCCAGTAGAGTAACCAATCTGAACAATGTCAATATTCTTTTTACACAGCTGCACACAATGATTATTTCTAACAATAGGAGAGTGCATTTAAAAAAAAAAAAAACTAATCTATCCCAAATGCTGGTAAAGCACACAGAAACAATGGCATGCATTCTTTAGAGATGTGATTTCATTTTTTTTTTTCCTTAGAGATTAATTTTTGAGAAGGACAAAATGATATAGCTTTAGATTTATATTTCTATTTTAATTTGATTAACATAAAGGATAAAGGATGATTTTGTACTGTGCTGTACTGTCAGTTAAATGTTTGTTTGATTACTCTTTAAACTGTGTCCAAGATGCTTCAATGACACCACATTTCTGTATTATTTAGCCCCAAGATTTTTTTTTAAAAACTTGCATTACAGAATGTGGTTTTTATATATGATCTTGGCCCCACCCTTGCAGATTTAATTTCCTGCTTCACCGGTTAATACTGCTATCACCTCCTCATCGTTGCGTTGCCTCTATTCACCTGAGCAACCTCCTTGTGCTAAGGTTCGACACGGCCCATCTCACACAACGTCTTTGTCTTAGATGCCCCATGACCTCATGAATGACATTGATCCAGACTCCACACAGTGTCTGCTCTGTGCTGGCATCTGCTCTGTTTGGAAATGTCGAGGTCAGAATTTACACCACCATGTCTGACCTCAGGACCTTCTCTTCCAGGAAGAAACAGGTTAAAAATTCAAATGGCAGCTGAAGTGCGCAGTATGCCGGAGAGGATGAGTGCTCTGGCAAAATACCCAGAGTAAGTTGGGGAGGAATTCCCACTGATGCTCAAGGGAGAGAGGGTGTTGATGTACTTATTGCCTGTATATATTGTATATTGTCATTGTACTTATTGTATACAGTTTTTCTTATATTAGTTATAACCTTCTTTTTGTATTAGACAAAAAAAAAAATAGGAATTGTGGTGACATTTTGTTTATGATCTGACAAATAAAGCTTGCCTGAGGACAGAGCACATAGCTAGCCACACTAGTCAGCCATGTGTGCCAGTCAGTGGTGGCATGTACCTTTAATACCAGCAACCACGCTAGTTAGCAATAGAATCTGGGTGGTGGCGGTACATGCCTTTAATCCCAGCACTAGGGAGGAATATAACATGGGTGGAGACAGTCAGTCTGCAATCACTCTGAGGAAAGGCTCCCCCCCCCACCTCCACCCCCACCCCCAGCCTTGGTAGAGGTAAGAGCTCTCTGGTGGTTGGCTGCTTTGCAATCTGATCTTCAGACAAGCTTTATTTGTTAGATCATCAACAAAATATCACCACATGAGGGAATGCTATTTAAGGGAGTGGCAAGGGCTATCCTCTTTTTTAAAAAAAATAATTTAATTTTACATGTTTGTGTGCGTGACTATATCACACGCAAGAAGGTACCCAAGAAAACCAGAAGAGGACATCAGATTCCTGGAGCTGGAGTGGCAAGAAGTTGGCAGCTACCTGATGTAGTGGGTTCTGGAAACCAAACCCCGATTCTTCTGCAAGAGCAGCAAGTACCCGTAACCACGGAGCCACCTCTCCTGCCCCTGCAATCCTTTTTGCTAAGGAATATTTGAAATGTATAAGAGAAGATATCTGAAGGGATAACCATCCAGACAGAAAGAAGAGCGATTGTAGAGGCCCTGAGACGGGAAAGTGTGGGTGGCCGACATGATCCCGGAGCATGAGCTAGGCAGTGTGGCTGGCGTAAAAGGGGCGATAGTAAGCACAGCTGGAGGTAGGGGCAGTTTCATAGCGTTGTCCCACAATGCACTGCTGCTCATGACAGAACCTCAGCTGCTAACTATCCCAACCCCCTACTCATATTAAAAGGAGCAGAACAACAGGGATCTCATACAGCTATTATTATTATTACTATTACTGATGATGTTACATTGCTTGGCCATTTCTTTAGGAATGCATATTTCACAAGAGAGTGGGGTTTGTTCTGTTCATCAGTTTTCTGGTGTCTAGAGTACTTCCTGGTAGACGAAAAGATACTTACTAGGTGGATGAAAAACAAGGATGGTGACAGTAATTCATTCTTAACAGGGCAATAACAACCAAGCATCAGAAGACACAGCAGAAAAACAACCAGCCTGAGAACCCCCAATAGTGCCATGTGCCTTTGTATAAATCTTCCCTTGAGGAATGACGTGGGGGGCTGAAGAGATGGCTCAGAAGTTGAGAGTGCTGAGGTCCCAGGTTCAATTCGCAGCACGCACGTGGCAGCTCACAACTGCCTGTTACTCCAGTTCCAGGGGACCCAACACCCATGGAAGAACACCAATGCACATAAAATTTAAAAAACAAAGAAGCGATGTGGATATATAATATTAGAGTTCTATCAGCATAGGGGAGGCATATAAAGTCTTT